CAACCTGTTTCTTCCCAAATAAGTCAGTAATATGGTTGATGCCCTCTTTTTTTTCCTTGCGAATACTTTCTGGGTTACTTAAAGCTTTGGTTAAGTATGTGATCTTTTGGTCAGTGGTAGTGCCTGGGATATCACTTGCTATAATTCCTGCTTTGAATCTTTTCTTGCCATATCTTGTTATCCTATTGAAGAGTGATCTTGATCTTGGGCAGCCTCTTTTTTGATTACTTTGAACTTGCCATGTTTCTTCAGTATCTTCCTTGTTTGGGTCTTGATCTGATCCTTCCTCTTCTTCGTCATACATTTCTATATCAGAGTCATTAATTCTTGTTAGTGTGTAAGTGTATTGTTAAGTATATGATATTTTCTCTCTATGTGCTTTTTTAAAATATAGTCTGCTTCCAGTGATGATTGTTTCTTCTACCTGATCTCTCCATGTTTATGATGCTGAGCTATTTGCATCCTGTTCATTATGGTCTTGAAAGTTCTAATGATTAGCTATAGGTTGTTGGATTACTTGTTCATTTGTGGAAAGGTTTTGGATAGTTTCTATTGGTTTATCAAGTTCTTTACTCTTGTTTAGGGTTGTTGTCCTTTCGCTATTTGTATTGGTTTCTTTTCAAAGATTTCTTGAATTACCTCTTGCCAAAAGTATCTCATTGTAGTTGGGTCTTGTACTAGTTTTGGAACTGTGAAGGGTTCTATAAGAACTTATCTCTTTCATGTGCTTTTTTGTTTCTTAGAAAAAATTGCCTTAAAGAAAATTTTTAAGAATTTTGGGATCTACGGAAAAGAGTTTTTTTTTTTTTTTTTTGAGAAATCAGTTTAAATAATATATATGAATTCAAAAATATTCCAGTAGAGATACTACTGAATAGTGACTATATCCTTTTGTTAATAAAAATGACAACAAATAATCTGCTTAAAAATCAAGCTCAAGAAAATATAAAAAAAAAGGTAAAAAAAAATACCAGATCCAGTAAATTTTACTACAGAACAATAGGAGAATTCAAACTCTGGATAGAATGTAAGCTTTCAGAAATTGACACACAACCTTCTTGACAAGAGGCTGAAGACAACTCCCAAAAGTTTAAAAAGGCTTAGCAAGAACTTGAAACTATAATCTTTAAAAGTGCATACAAGTGCCTCAAGAAGAAAAGAGTTTACTCTATTTCCAATAAAGGAAAAGAAGTCAAGACAGAATGAGTAATCCCAAAGAAAGATTTTAAAGTCTACAGGAAAGCCAACAAAATTCACTTCCTTTTAAAGAAAATCCAAGTTAATTGGGACTTAAGAACTATAGAAGATATAGTGAACATAGAAAAGACTATTCAAAATCTACAAGACATTTATAAATCTTTCAATGAAATATAGGTATCTCCTCAACTACAAAATAAAATTCCAGAGCAATTAAAAAAAATCATCAAAATAGAATGTACCCTTAGAATAATATGCAAGAAAAAAGAAAGTCTTCATAGCAGAAATATATCAAATTAGTTTTGGAAAACAGATGTGATAACCTCAAAACCAATCAGAAGTGAATGTTAAACTTAGTCTTGAACCATAAAAACATATAATTATATTAAACCAGGTGCTAACCAAAAATCAAGAAGGAAAAAACTATATTGCTACTGATTTCAAACTATTAGAAGCAAGATTGAAGAATATCACAAACAGGCTTTCAAAAAAAGAAATACTAACTTTGAAAGTCTTGATCTCTTCTATAAAAAAAATATCAATCCAAAGAATAAATTGATCCAATATGGTACTCACCATTAATAGAAGAAATTAAAGTAGAAAAGCTTGAAGCTATTTTGCAATCCCTTCCAAATAACATAACTACCAGCCCCTCATACATCAACTATGAAATGCTCAAATACTTAGGAGTCAAAAGAAAAGAAACTTTATGTTTTCTTTTCAACAAAGTCTTAAGTATAGACCAGATACCTAGAAAATAGAAAAGCAGTAACATATATTTTATTCTAAAATTCAAGCCCTGGAAATGTGATTTGAGCAATACAAGACCTATTGTTCTTCTAGAAACAGCTCAAAAATGCTTTACTAAGATCTTTATTAACTAATTATCAACTATCTGCAAGCAATATAAAATTCTAAAAGATCCAAACTTTGCCTGTCTACAAGGAAAGAGTACAAAAGAGCCTATTCATCTGCTGAATAACATTTGTAAAAAAGCCAAAAAAAAAAAGGAACTTTAAATCCTCTTTCAAAATATTGCCAAGGCTTATAATACAATATCTCTTTATATATTTAAAAAGGCTATAAATTGGATCCAAATTCTTACAACCATCAAGAAGTTTATAATGGATCTTTTTAAAGATAGAAGTTATAGTATTATCCTTCACAATGGTTTCTCTAATCCAATAGTAGCAAGGGATAGTATAGATCAAGGTTAAACAATTTTTCCTCTTTTATAAAGAATTTTCTATGATTCACTGTTATACAAGATTCAAGACAATAATAACTTGGATTATTCTATAAAAGAAAAATGGTTACCTAACTTTAACAAACCTGAAGAAAAAGTTAAGCTCTCTTTAAGGCAAGCAATAATTGCTTACATGTATGACACAATCTGGATTGCCAAATCTAAAGAAGATCTAGAAAAGATCTTGGAAGAAACAAAAAAATTCTATATAGCAAATAACTCTCAAATTAATATAGGAAAGTCAATTCTCCTTATTATTAATCAAAATCCTCAAGTTCTTGGAACTATTCAAGCTGAAACAGAGAATACTATAGTTTATTAAATTAATAAAGATGATCAGGTCAAATTTCTTGATATCTAATTAGAATCAAGATAAAAGAATTAGTATATTATCAACCTAATAAAATCTGAAATTAGGATAGTAATTCGGACAATAACTAAGAAAAAGTTGCCAGAAAAATATATCCATTATGTTATCAATAGGGTCTTGATTTTAAAAATAGAATATAGAATGCAATATACATATCTAAATGAGAATATATACAATAAGCTCATAGCTATATTTAGAAAAGTATTCAAGAACAATGCCTTAGTCTATATAACAATTGAAAATAGTTGTATTCATAACAAAGAAATGTATAGTCTCAAGAATATTTGAAAAATACAATTAGAAAACTATATACTGTACCTGTACTTTTCTGTCAACTCAATAATAATAAAGCCTCTGGTATTGTTATCATAATTAGTTAAAACAAAGCCAAATTAAATGTTGGAAGCCTGGTAATATTCTAGAAAATTCTATCAACTCTCAGAAGCCAATTAAAGGAAATTTGGTAGCTGCAACATTGGTCCTGGCAAAAAGTATATAAATTACCTTTCAAAGTTGGAGATAGAAAAAAATATTTGATTATCAAGGAGGTATTCTGTCTATCAAATCAATACTACAAGACAATAGAGAATATAAAAAAGCTATTCTATCACTATGCAAGCATAAGATCATATTTCTAGATCAGCTCATTAATACTACTACAATGACACTTAAAGAATGAAGAGCAATTCAAATTCTATTTAGCAGATACAAGAACCAGTTCCCTCCTGATATAAAAAAGTCTATGAAAAGATAACAATAAATCAAGATCTTCTATGAAACTCTCTACATGGACTTGAATGGACAGTTTACAATATGCAGATTTAAACATTTCCAACAAATCTAGATAGAAGAAAAACACACTAGATAGTTTATAATAATACTCAAAAAGACACATTAGAAAAGACAATATTTGTAAACAACAAATTTCATTTCACACAATATCAACTAGTATATGACTCTGCTAGTAATTATACCTATCTTCAATCAAATAGAACAGTACAATCAATAGTAGTAGTTCCATCACAAGTTCACCTTTTTTCATAACTAAATAAATATAACAATATAAGAAAAAAAAAATAGATCCTTCTATTAGAAAATTCTATAGACTAGCAAATAAACACATATCACCAAACAGTAACTCTATCAACTATCAGACCTGCAAAAGTAGAGATTCAAGTGGAAGACTAAAACATTACCCTAATAGAACAAGCCATACAAATAGAAAAATATAAAAATGAACTTATAAGTATTTTGAGATACTGTATAACAAAAGAAATATGGTTGATTAACTTACTTTTTACACTAATGATTCCTATAAAAAAGGAATAACAGATTGTGAACTTAAGATGGGTCTAGCTTGGATCTTAATAAAGGATAACAAAATGGTTAAACAGTTCTCAGCAGGAGCTTTCACTTGACCATCTACAACCAAAGCTGAAATATTAGTTATTCCTACCATACTGTACACTGCTTCTCAAAACATAACTGTCATGATTCACACTGATTGCAATATAGCAATCAAAGTATAGAAATATATCTGCTCACAAACTGAAACATCAACAAGAAAATGGACAAAGACTACCAACTGGCCACTGTGGAATAAAATCAAAGACCTTGTTAAGAAGAAAAATCTAGATTTGGAAATCTTGAAGGTAAGCCCATAGAACCAACAGATTTAACAATCAAGTAGATTTACTTGCTAAAAAGGCTAAGCGGGAGAATCCAATAACTTGGCATTAGCTACTAGAGCTAGGAGGAGTCCTCATGATAGCCACATGGAGAGAATATACAATAGAGATTGGTATCAAAAATTTTATCAAAACATTCAATAACCTGCAAAACCACAAGCCTTTCAATTAACTATTATTTATAGTCACAAATAGGTACGAAGGTTTCCTTATATTCCACACGACCATTTCCACCACCAGGGCCACCTGTAGATCCTACACCCACGCCGCCACCTGAACCAGCTGGTGTCAATACACCTGTTGACTCATTACCACCTCCCAAAAAGACGGGTTCTTCGATAACTTTTCGTGTGTATCTCGCGAAAACTTCCCATAATTTTTCTTGGCTGTAACTCGAAACAATAATTTAAAATTACTTCTCAAAACAGCCTGGCTATATGGTAACCAACTGCCACGGATAATAAATTATCCGTACATTGTTTCAAACAGTGGAAGTTTCATGACCAGGATTGTAGCGCTCTTGCCAGCTTTCATACAGCATGAGATTTGCATGTGGGTAACCACGAAAATTCTGAAAGGCGCCACATCGCCTGTGTACTTTCCCGATGAATTTTTGATAGGTGAGTTCCGAGAGGAATGATACAGGTACATGTATTTTTTTTTTTTTTTTGGTAAATTTCAAAAATATCGTGATGAATAAGTTGTTGCCCCAGTCCGAGAATTAATTCAATGCGGATTGACAAAAATCAAATGTCTGAACCGTTAATGTTTTTTCTTTTTGTCAACGAACCAAATGATCACACAAATAACCATAATAATACCCTTGTTCATTTGCCACTCGTTATTCAGCCTCATATGCCATACGTCAAGTGTGCGCCACTCTCTCAACCCCATCGGAGCGCGAGAGACTAGAGCAAATGTTTACGCCCAGATTATACGACCGTTTCAATACCGAACTTGACAAAATATCGTCGGAAAAGTCATCTGTAACGATCGAAATACAGAAAATACATAAACACAACATTCGAGACATATGGATGACAGTAGGGCCCCGGAAGGCAACCGAAAAAAGTTCAGATGGCAAAAAAGATAGATATCGTGTCCTTCGATGGATGACCATCAGAATAGGTATTCAACGAGGCAGTGAAAGTGAGTCGTACACGGAGCGTAGAGCAAAAGTATCAAAAGCTTTTTCTGATGGTTTTAATTTTAAAATTGATGTAAATTTTGACGCCGAAATTAATTATCATTAATAGCGAAGGTGAAAGTGGAGGTGTTGGGGATTACGAGGATTCAGAAATAAATTGGAGTTGGCGAGTCGGGGATATTGATTATTTGTTGGAAAAGGA